CCCCGCTGAGGAGGCCTCCTCTTCCCCTCCCCGGGCTGTCCATCGTTGGCAGCACCAAGCCGGAGGAGGGTGGGTGGATGGGAGCCCAGAAGCTTGAGGTCTGTTTCTCTTCCCTCGCCCGGAATTGCTTCAGTGCACCCCGGGGCAGCATCCGTCCGCTCCGTGGGTGCTTCCCGTGAGCGTGCTTTTCCTTTGGCGTCCCCTCCCTTTCCCCGTTTGTACGTGTTAGTCGTCTCCTCTCTCCTTTCACTTGTGGCGCCCCACACCGTCATTTTTCTCCAGGTCTCTTTTGTGCTAACCCCCCCTTGCGAGGACTAGGAGATGGCATTTAGTTTTCTTGGGGAGACCAACAGAAACATGACCGTAAGGAGGCACCCAGAGAAGTGCAAGAGCAAAAGAAGCAATATATGATATTGTCCCGTGACATATTCCAGCCTCCCAGCTGTTCACGGCTGGGGGATCTTTCTGAGCTGGATGTGGTTTCCAGGTATTTAGTGGTCTTCGGCTGTTTGTCCTTCATGAACGTGTCCTTCTCTTGAGTCTGTGTAAACTCTTCATTTACAGAACATTCTTTGGGTATGAGTGATCTACATGAAGGCGATGTGCGATGAACTGGTTCCTTTTAGCCTGACTCACTGGGTTTGTTTGATAACCTCGTGTTCCAGTATTAGAAAAGAAGGTGAATCACTGCTCTATTCAGCCTGTTTGTGCACTTCACTAGCTCTGGCATGTTTCTGTTGGTCATCTTTTCCAGACCAAGGCATCCTCAACTTGCTTCCTTGTTCCGTGTATGGGAGTCATTGCACACCTTTGATCATCCTCATGGCCCACCTCTGAACGTTTCCGAGCTCTACTTTGTCCTTCTTTAGATGAGAGGACAGCAGTTGCAGACTTATTTTTTGCAGTGCTTATTTTGCAGGCAAAAAATGGATTAATATAGTGGCACATGGGAACAAAGAGTTAAGTGTTTCTGCAGTAGATACACAAAAATAAGTGGAAGGCATGTTGTCTCAACAAGAGTTGAAATAAAATGTACTGGGAACTTAGAGGGAACTAGAAAGCAATCTCATGAAAAATTGCTTGCTGGATAGAGAGGTACTAGGGGCTGTGTCGTCAATTCAAAATCGTAGATTATTTTTAGTTGTCACCTTGTTTGACTTTCATTTCACCCCATTTAAAGGATTCATAGAAGTGGAAACAGCGTTTTTCTTGTTTGAGGCAGCTGCAAATGAAACAGAAGTAGCATACTTGGATCGTTCTCTAATACTGCTTTGAGTGGGGTAATCTGTTGAGCAGCCTTCCAAAAAGGTGAAGGTTTCAAAAGAGGTGAAGATCATTTGCTGACTGAGATGTAGTTGCTTCAGAATTAGAATTTTAAGTTGTTCTTTCTTTGGGTGTTTTCTATTACTGCTGCTAACTCTAGATTTTTTAAGTGTCTTACACCTCCCATGTGGCTTGCTTATCTGCCAGAAAAATGCAATAAATGCCTTTTCCTCCAGTGCGTGCTCTCACTGCTGTTCCTTTGGATGACAGTTGTCTTTCCAAGCACATATCTGCCTGTTCTGGTGATGTAGGGGTGTTTCCCTGCATTTTATTTTGTGTGGTACAAGTGATTTTTAATTGCCATGCACTTGGTATTCGCTATGCTGATTAACTTAAGATACATGTCGTGAAGAGATACTGGTGTAGATTTCATTTTGCATTGACATAATGATAAATGTGATATTGAATGCCCTAAACCATGTTTTGTTTAATATCGTTCCAATTCCTGTCTTGTTTAAGAAGATAGACGTTTTCTGTTCATTCAATGAAAAATGTTATAATTGAGATCTTGGTTTTCTCAGAATAATTCATAAATTGCTTTGAAATTCCTGTTAAAACACAAATACAGGTGTCCTGATACAGGCAGACACCATTTAAAGGTTTATTTATGTTACGATCTCTAGTTTCTAACTATTAAAGCTAATAGTTGGGACTTAAAAGTAGATCAATTTAGACTTGAAGTAATACACAGCCAGAGTAGTTAAAAGCTTTATTGTGGGATGTGAAGATTGACACTTCAAGTTGGAAGTTGAATGGCTTTATGAAGGACCTGGTTTAAGTCCAGAGGAGAACAGTGGCAACAAAATTTCAAGCAGTGTTGGACAGTAGATCAAACTGGATAGCTAAAAATCCTGGAGCATGAGTTACAGTTAAACCTTTTCATCACACACGGATGTAATCTTTAATATAGTCATTATAACAGATTTTTTGCAATGAGTCTTTTGGATGGAGACTTGCACTCTGTGAATTATCCTCCTTGCCTTTCAGACTTTAAAATAAATGGGCCAGGGCTTCAAACTGCTGTTGTTTACAGAAGACGAAGAAGTCTTGTGATGTGATCTGTGCGGCCTAGCAGACTAGGCTTTTTAATTAGACTAAAAATTCATAAATCTGCCTAGTTCCGGTAGATATGGAAGCAGGAAAAAAGTAATATTAAGTTTACTTTATAAAAGCTTTCACTGTATGAATTACAGGCAGCTCAATTTAAAAGTAACAGACTAGCCCAGTTTTTGTATTACAGGCATGTGCCTGGTACACTACCGTACTATAGCAGCATAAAACCTGGATGAAAGTAGAATAAAACTGGCACCAATTTTTCCCAGTCTCTGTTACCCACTTACCTGAACTATCGCTTTCTTTCATTTGTGTTATACATCCGCCATGGAGTAAACCAGTTAGATTCCAGTTTGGGTTATGTGTTATCCCAGAGTATGGCCTCAAGAGAAAACTATTGGATTTTCTAAGGAATAACACCAGGACTTATTTATGTGTTGTTACCTTGTTATTTTAATTAGGCATATGAAATACTTTGAGCCTTTTTGTCAAATGTATCTGCTGTGGGATTGAATCAGTAGCCATAACTGGCTGTTACCTGCTGCTGTGTGGATTTCTCAGAGTGTGATTTTAGGTATTGTGTTGCAATAACTTCAAAAAAATGTCTTCAGGGGCAGCAGACCTGCGACAGAGAAAGAAGCAAAACTGCACAGAATCTGACAAAATGGCTCCAGAGGAGAGAAACAAAGAAAACTCAAAACTGGGAAGATCGCCAAAATGTAAGCTACAGAATTTTTAGCCAACTTCTGATATTTTTTTCATGATTCTTTTACATTTTATGGGGAGATATTTGTAGCACAGTAATTTATAACAGACTTATTTTGAATTAGGTTTTTGAATGTTTCAAGAAAAAACAGGCATGCACATTAGAATTCTTTAATAATGACATTTTATGTATTGCAGAGTAAAATGGTAGTCCTGGATTGTTTCAGGTTGGGGGGGAAGAGGCAGAGGGGTTAAGACTTTCACTGTTGGTTCTATTTGAGTACCAATAAGTATTTTAACTGCACCTGGAGAGATCTTTTGGTTGGGAAGCTGAAAGGCATGAAGTAATGTTACTGAAACGAGAACAGACAGAAAGTCCTTACAGCTTTTCAAGGAACAGAACTAAAACCGGGTGTAATTTTAGGCAAGTGCTCACCAAGCTACCAAAAACTTTTATGTTGAAAGCACATACTAACTTGAGGGAGCTACAGGTGAAGTAGACATCCATTGAATGAGTTTGGTAAAATTCAGATTGGTTCCTTCCTCTTATATTTGAAAACAGAATGGAGAAGAGAATGTGTCAGTATTGATGTTAGGTGTGGTATTGCCACCTCTTCCTGTTAATGTCCTTAAGAAGTTTGTGGTGGTTTGGGTAATACCTAGAGTTCGCTCTGTTTATTTGGTAGACATTCTCCTTCTTGGAATTCATTTGAAAATGAAGCTTACTAGAATGGAGAGAAATTTGCAGTGTAGCGTGTGAGTATTTTATCTGAGAGTCCTATGAAGCAGTGGTAACATCTGGGAAAGAAAACTGCAGGAGAGGAATAACAAACCAGTTCTCGATGTACCTGGGCTGATGATGTTGTGATAATTCTGATGCCAGTAAGTTCACTTGCTGTTCAGAACTGAGTCATATTTAGGGCATTCTGTTTGTTTTTAAGTCCTCTGGGCTATTTTAGCTTTTTCACTGTCCCTTTTCAGATATGTTAATTCAGCGTTTTGCGAAACTTTTCTTTGGCTGTCTTGCGGCAGTCACTAGTGGAATGATGTATGCTGTGTACCTCTCAACATATCATGAACGGAAATTCTGGTTTTCCAGCAGGCAGGTAAAGAAAAGAGTTAAACTACTGAAACAAAAGCCAAATTGTGTCCTTGAAATCAAAACTGATCCACGTCACGTTGGAACTACTTGCTTGCAGAAGCCCATGTTGTTCTACTCGGGCCTCTGTCTTTGATGTAGCCTTTCTTATTTTTTGC